CTTGTTTAGGGTCGTTAACGAGGTAGTTTAAAGGACGACCGGTAGTTTTGTAGGATCGAGAACGTAAGATGGGCTTGTTTAGGGTCGTTAACAAGGTAGTTTAAAACGACGGTAGTTTAGAATCGAGAACGTAAAATGACCCTGTTAGGCTCGAAAACGTAAAACGGGCTTGTTTAGGGTCGTTAACAAGGTAGTTTAAAGGACGACCGGTAGTTTGCAGGCTCGAAAACGTAAAAATGCCTTGTTTAAGGTCGTTGCTATCAAGGTAGTTTAAACACGAGAAAACAGTAGTTGAGACTCGAGAGAGAACTGGTAGTTCAAGTAAACGTTTTCTCTCCCGCGCAAACGTTTCTCCCCCCCCCCCCTCGCCATTGCGTAAACGTTTATGGCTTAAAGTCTGCGGTGAAGACTGGCTTGTAGTTAAAGGAAGTAGACATTGGTTGGTGATCGTAGTTGCGGAGAGAGAGAAAAAAAAACAGTAACTGTATCTTATTGCTTGAAAGAAGTATTTTGAATCAGTTTTAATCAGTAATTTTTATGCTTTAATAATTTAATAATAATAGTTTTAATAATTTTTATAAATAATATTTGAGAAGACGATGTGGATATTTTTATCTTTTGCTGTTGCTTCGATGAGGTAAGTAACTCATATATATGTATATGTATGTGTGTATGTGTGCGTGTTTATCTATGTATGTATCCATTTATGCGTACGTGTGCGTGTGTTTATGCGTGTGTGTGTCTATGTATATGTCCATATATGTGTACCTGTGTGTGTTTATGTGTGTGTATATGTGTGTGTGTATGTGTGTGTATACGCGCGCGTGTATATATATATCCATATATGTATACATGTGTGTGTGTGTGTGTATGTGTGTGCGCGCGCGTGTGTTCATCCAATAAGACATCAGCAGATTCGTCTGTCAGCCTAAATCTTCGGAACCTTCTCCTAAATCCAACTCACCAAAAAAAAAGAAAAAAAAGGAAAAACAAAAAAAGGAAAAAGGGAAAAAGTAAAACAGGGAAAAAAGTAAAATAAAAAGTAAAAGAGGGGAAAAAAGAAAAAAAGGGAAAAAGGGAAAAAGAAAAAGGGAAAAAAGTAAAAAAGGAAAAAAAAAAAAAAAAAAGTAAAAAAAAAAAAAGTAAAAAAAGGAAAAAAAAAAAGGAAAAAAGTAAAAGAGGGAAAAAAGGGAAAAGAGTTTTAAAAGAGACATTTTCCACCGATTTGCTCCGCGAAGTACCAGTAGCTCTAAGTATCGAAGCTTCTCGTAACTCTAGCCAGCTCGTGATCACGTGACAGTAAAAACGAAATCGCACACACATCCCTACAAAAAAAAGAAAAAAAAAAAAAAAAAGAAAAAAAGGAAACAGAAAACAGAAAACACGAGAATAAGTAAAAAAAAAAAAAAAAAAAAAAAAAAAAAGAAGGAAGAGAAGAAAAAAGAATGCAGAAATGAGACAGAAAGATTTAAAAGAAGGAGGGGAGAGAGACGGATACGAATAAAAACAAAAACAAAAACGATAAAATGGAGAAAATTAGATAAAAATAATAATAAAAGAAAGGGAGAGAGAAAGAAGCTACGAAAATTAGAGAAAAAATATCAAGAAAACGAGAGAGAGAGAGAGAGAGAGAGAGATCATAAAAAAAAACAAATAAAAAAACGCTAAAACTAGAGACATAGATAAAAAAATAAAAAAAAACGCCAAAACCAAATCAACCAATAAAGAGCAACAACCGAACGAGGGAAACGGACGCAAAATCATTAACAAGCCTTTCCAACGGACGCGGCGCCGAGGTTAAACAGATGGCGCGAACATTTAACGTTTTAAGGAGACATTGATGGTAAAGAATCGCCGTTGTAAATTTTATCAAAGCAAAGAAGCGACGTCGTTATATTATGTTCTGGAGCTTCGACGAGTATCTGATCTGGATATTTGCTGTTGTTGTTGTTTGTTTGGGTGTGTATAGGAATTTATTTTTTAGCTCGTTGTTCGGTTGCGCTTCGATGGGAATTAATATTTTTGTTATTATTATTGGTATTTTTTTTTATTATATTGCTGTTGATATTAATTATTATATATCATTATCATTATTGTTATTATTATTATTATTATTATTATTATTATTATTATTATTATTATTATTATTATTTATTAATAATATTATTATTATCACTATCACTGTTGTTACTTTTATTATTATTATTATTATCTTTAGTACTATTATCATTATTATTATCATTGCTGTTATTATAATTTTCATTAATGTCATATTATCCTTATTATTTTTTATGGATCGATGAATTGGGAAAATATATAAAAAAGAAAGAGAAACAACAACAAAAATAAAACAAGCAAATGAAAATCACATCGAACTCACGAGCCAAAATTCCCCGGATTAAAAAAAAAAAAAAAAAAAAAAAAAAAAAAATGGCGAATATATGTAAAATGAAATAGAATGGAAGATTCGAGGGTGAAATCCGTCTCACATACATACATGAATTCATTTATTCATATGTAATTCTCACGTGTTGCTCCCCCCCCCCCCCCCTAAAGCAAAAAAAAAAAAAAAAAAAAAAAATCGTGCCAAAACCTCATTAGATCGGAGAGCCAAACCGAATGATAAACAATTTATATGCACATATATTGGAATGAAACCTCTCTCCAAAAAAAAAAAAAAAAAAAAAAAAAAAAAAAAAAAAAAAAAAAAAAAAAAAAAAAAAAAAAAAAAAAAAGATTGTATATTTATTAGGAATCGATTTTCAAGGCATTGTTGCGATACGAAAAAATAATGATAAAAAGATAAATAAATAAAAGAAAAATAATGAATTATATCTATTCGCTATATCTATTTCATTTTATCAGTTATTATTCATTCTATTTATTATCATTATCATCATCTTTTGAAACTTATTTTCCTATTTGCTTACTTTCATTTATTCGTTTCTTTATTATTATTATTATTTGCTTTATAATCCATAATCCATATTACATTACTATCATGACCCTATCTTGATTCAGCTTTATAGAAGTATTCTGCAATATCCACCTTTGTAGATTCGCAAAGGCTCTGTACAATGCAACAGAAATGCAATACGGTAGAATGCAGAATTGTGTAAATAATGTAAATAATGCATATACAATATTAATGACAGGATGTAATGAGTATGTACAATATACAATTCACTGCACATGAATTACAATAGACACACACAGACATTAAAACAATCAAACACACACACACATAACACACACAACACAACAACACCACACACACACACACACACACACACCACACACACACACACACACACACACACACACACACACACACACCACAACCACACACACACACACACACACACACACGAGCCCCCCCCCCCCCAGAACTAACGAAAGACATGAAATACAATGCATAGCCAATATAACATAGAACATTGCAGAACCTTACACAGTGCAGTACAAAAGGATCATAATACAAAGAAACATAAGAACCAATACAGTGTAAATATAAACAGAACCAATAAAATACATGATAGATTTGAAAAAAAAATAAGCAGAACATAGAACACGATACAATATATAACTAATACAACACAATATACAATACATAACTGATAGAACATGATACAATATAAAACTTAGAGTTCACAATTCAAGCTGAACTGATGTGATACAATACAGAAACGATGTATCAAAATACAATATAAATGAAATATAACATAACAATGCAGAATTGATAGAACACGATACAATATATAGCTAATACAACACAATATACAATACATAACTGATAGAACGTGATACAACATAGAAATGATATAACAATACAATGCAGAAGTAATAGAACAATACAATACAGATCTGATATACAACACAATATACAATACATAACCCTTAGATTACAATACAATATGGAACTAATACAACACAACATAAAATACAGAGCTAATACAACACAATATACAATGCAGATAAAACACAAAATACTACAGAACCAATACAATACAGAACTGGTAGAACACAATACAATATAGAACAAATACAATGCAGAACTGATAGAACACGATACAATAGAGAACTAATACAACACAATACAATAGAGAACAAATACAAACAGAACTGATGCAACACAATGCAATAGAGAACAATACAACACAATACAATAGAGAACCAATACAATAGAACCCTTACAGCTCTTTCGGTATATGCTAAACCTTTAATTCAACTGCTTTTGTATTTTGCTTCTCTCCCTCCCTTCCAATCCTCATTTTCCCGCTTCCCTTTTCATATTTTCCCTCCCGTAAATCATCGTCTATTTCTCGTTTCCCGCTTTCCTCTTCTCCTCATCTTTATCCGTTTTTTTTATGTTCTCTTCCCCTTCGTATATGATTTTTTTTCTTTATTTTTGTATTTTGGACTTTTGTATTTTGTGTGTGTGTGTGTATATATTTTTTTCATTTCTTTCGTCTATTATTATTGTTGTTTTCATATATTTCCTTCCTTTGTCTCTTCGAATATTTCTGCTTTTTTGTGTGCTTTTTGTCGTTCCATTTCTCCCTCTCCTTCCTTCTTTGCCTTTCTCTCTCTCCCTTCACTCCCATCCTTTCTCTCTCTCTCTCTCTCTCTCTCTCCCTCTCTCTTTCTCCCTTATCCTTCTATCTCTCTCTTACCCCTTCCTCCCATTCCTCACTACCTCCTACTTATCTTCTCTCTCTCTCTCTCTTCCCTCTTGCTCTCTTCCCTTCCCATCTCTTCTCTCCTTTCTTCTTTCTCCTTCCTCCTTCTTTCTCCCCTTCTCTTCCACTTCTCCTTTTCCTTTGGTCTATATCCACAACCCTCTCTTCCCCTGCTTTATTATTTTCGTCCATCTCCCTCTTTGTTTTTCTTCTCTTTTCCACCCCCTTCCACCACCCTCCTCCAACCCCCCCTCCCCCCCCTTCATACCCCTCCATACCCCCCCCCATAAAAAAAAAAAAAAAAAAAAAACACCAGGAAACCCCGTTCGTGATGCTCAAGGAGGGCAACAACGCCACGGGCAACGGACGGTACGTGGGGTTCTGCGTCGACCTCCTCCGCCACGTGTCCATGATGGCGGGGTTCGACTACGAGATCGTGCTCTCCGGCGACGGCGT